CAGAATGTATGACATTTCATGTTTTTTAATTGCATTACAGAAAATAAAGAACTTTATCACAATATTCTAATATTCTGAGACAGTCCTGTATATGTTCTATATTCTACTTCAATTCATGGAAAACGCATTCTGCGATGTTAAGTTGTGATACACCAAAACAGTCCAACAGACCCGATACATCCTCCTGCTCCCTGCTGTAGTCGCTGTCCGCTGTCCTGTTGTTTGTGAACACGGAGCCTCCCATGTAGGCCAGGCCCATCTGCAGGTTCTCCGGAACAGGCGAGTAAAACACAGGCATCCCGATAGGAGCAGACGATCATGACCGGGTCAAGAAGTGAGGAGGCGCGATGGCCCGAAAAGACCGGTTTGCGTCTCGGTGCCTGCTGCTAATCCCTGTCCTCCTTCAGTCAAAGCAGTGAACAGGTGCACGGGGACTAGTAGATACACACAGATACATGCTGGCAGACACTCTAGGGCTAATCAGATTATTGTTAGGGGAGGCGGGCAGAGGATTAGGTTCCAATGGCCGTATGTCAGTCAGAGACTGTGCATGATTCATTTAGTTTATTTTGAAACATGACATGATTTTACAATGTTTACATAGAATGCTTCCTAAACATGCATCATGTTTGAAAAAAGTAGCAGGATGAAGCCTAAACTTATTAAGCCCCACCCCTCAGTTACATGAGTCGTGGTGGTAAAGGACGATTACAGTAAGACAAACAGTATAACTTTTTGCGTATTATTCTTTTTTTGTATTCATCAAAAATACTTTTCTTATATTGTTTTTTGAATTGCTGGATGCTATTACATTGGTTAATATTTTCAGGCAAGCTGATGCATGAGGAATCTGCCTCTTGGCAAAGTCTTTAGAGATAGGACGGGGAAAAAGATGAAATATGAATATAGTATGTGTTCATGTTTGTTCTGTGTTGTCTTTTGCTAAAAGAGAAAAAACACCAAAACAATTCCAAGCAAATTGAGGCTGAACAGGCACGTCAAACTTCACAGATTCCCACGATTTTCTCAAGGTTCTTTATTCAAACGTAGAAAGTAAACAAAGTGGCGGATAAATGACTAACACCCCAAAACGCTGCAGCCCATCGGCGAGGCTTCAGAATGGCGCCGGGCATCGTAATTTTCGGGCCTTTGAGCGCCATTCGTCACTAATGCGATGGACCTGCAGAGGCAGAGAGTGGCCACGAGGTGTCGTCAAAGCTCGTCCCGGGGGGCGTGCAGGGGGAACTGCTGGAACTCCTCTGGCACCTCTTCCCCTTTCTGGGACCTCTTGTAGAAACCGAGCGAGTCCAGCAGGCTGCTGATCTCGTCCGCCTTCATTTCCTTCACGGGGACGGTCTGATGTTTCAGAAAGAACACACACACACACACACACACACACACAAGAGAACAGGCGTTTTGTAATCGTTACCCAGTTCAGGAATGCTGGGATTCTCTAATGGACCACGGACATGCAGCATTTTGTGCGTAACTCTAGTTTAAAAAGGCCTTACATATCCAAAACTAGGAAATATAGCAAAAAAACAAAGGTTAAAACTCCATTCACAGCAGCAGCGTAGTGGGAGAGAGGCTTATTTATCCAGAAAAACAGAAGGGTTTTTTTGGTCGGATTTAGGGCCATCACTAAAGAAATTCATAATAAAGGGTTTCGGTGGAGTTTTATTGCTTCATACTGGGATAATAACAAGTAGAGGAGCTTTGCGGCAGCTGCAGAGAGCAGCAATTTCAGGCCAGACGCCGTTACAAATTGTATCGGCAGTCGCATCAACTGCGATGAATCAGCGAGAAAACACGTCTCTGCTCTCAGAAATCCTCATTGAAATGCTTTATCTTGCTCCTTAAGGCCTGTGCTAGGTTGTATCTGTCAGAGGATCAGAATTCAGCTGCCGTGGTGATCTGAAAAACTTTACTTTAAGTCTCTCGGCTTTGAAATTCCATCAGAAGGCAGATGAGTGAAAGACGCCCAAGTTCCCAGCTCACCTTCACGACTTCGTCCTTCTCATCGTAGAAAATTAGACGGGGGTTCTTCTCCTCCGACGAGTCATATTCCAAGTTGTGGCTGTTCGGGAGAGATGCAGATCAAGGGGAACAACTGACAGCCAGTGGAGCGAAGAATGAAATATAACCATATGTTTTGAGCATTCTTAGACAAAAATGGATTTCAACTCGAGAGACCGGAGTCCTGGAAAGCTCACAAAGCTGGCACTTGTTTTGGCAACTTGACATAAGCACGGCGTGGTTTTTAAAAATCAGTTTTGTAGATGGGTCAGTTCTCATCAACACGACACGATCACAAGGATACTATAAAGCCCAGCGCTCCAGCAGGAAGTGATGGAGCTCAGGCATTTTCTTTATGCCTCATCCGACAACACTGGGAGCCTGTGGGGGGAAAAAATAGACCGTTTTTTTGTAACTGCATTGTGTGTGTGTAAATTATTTTTCGTTTTAAGTGATCGGAAGTGTCAGAAATCAAATGCAAAGTAAGATATTTGACGTCCAGTCCTTTGCTGTTTGTTGCGTTTGCCTCTATATATATATATACGTTCCTACATATATACTTTCACACAGTCTCTGCAATTATATCCTGCGGACATAAAAAACCATCAAGGGTGACATTTGGAGATTATCGGCTCTGGACAGATGTCTGGACTCACCATTAGTTTACCTCGGGCTATCAGCATCTTCTCCTCCACCACACTGTCATTAGCTGCAAATACTTTAACAGTTAGTGCTACAACGAGCACCAAAAAGGCCCGCATTTTTTCTAATGTATTTGTATCCTTTGGTTATTTTTCTTGAAATGTGAGCAACTATCTGTAACCCTTAAACCCACCTGCTCGGGTTCTTGTCTGGACAAGACCATAGAACATTCACAGGGGGACGTTTCAGTCACCTGAGCTGAACTGCTTTACCTTTCTTTTCAAATTTTGTGTTAAAACATTGTTATCTGTGGCTGGGCTTCTGGCTTTGCCATTTTTATACATCCAAATGTAATTTGCAGCAGCAATCATTATCTTTTGTCTGTTCTTGATTTCACAAAGTCCTTGCAAAGGCTCCTGGCTTAAAAATACATAGTCTCTTCCACATCTGATATCACTGGAAGTCATAGAAACATCTGCACTCTTATCATCTTTTCCCACGCCTGTTTTCAGGTGGATGTGGCCACTGGGAGCCAACCACATGCTGAAAACCAAGTTAAAGCTCATTTGAACAATGGAAATCCCAATTTCTCCCTTTTCCCAAATTCATGTTTGAAAAGTGAACTTTGTTTTACTAAAGAAGTACTCAGATGGCGCAATTAACATAATTTCCACAATGAAAAAGACTGCAGAGTTGTGTCTTATAGTTGTTTTAATCTTTGTTGGTTAACTGAATCCAAATGACGTATAACAAAAAGTAGTCAAAATGTGGTCAAAAAGTTAAAATAAATCACATCTTCAGCTGATTCTGGCCGTTCTACTTCCATGATTATAAGAGTAAGAGTATTGCTAATCAAAGACTCTTGATTAAGTGATTTCCAGAAGATTTTAGCACCTCCACAAGGCAGTTTTGTCAGTTTGCTGGTCCAGACCGTCCAGGTTTTGGAGAAGAGGTTGTTGCTGCCCACAAATCTGAGAGAGTTTAGAAGGCCATTCAAAACAGTTTGGAGTTCTTCGTTCAACAGGGAGAATGATTATTCACAATAGGGAAACATTCGGGAGGGTTGTAAATTTTCCCCCGGGATAAACAACTGACCAAGTTAAACCCCAGGTCAGAGAAAGGTCCGGGCCTGGATACAGTGCAATAATTTAGTCTGTTTTACCCACCACGAAGTCAAAAAGAAAATGTGTCTCTCCTAAACGGCAACACATATATTATCGTGCTTTAATTTGACATAATGAATGTGTGGTAGTGCATGTACCCGTCCATAAAAATGTGGCGTAGTTGGTACTACTGAGTGAGAACTGGTATAAAGTGGGATCCAATTTTAGCCGAGTTAGCATTCATCTTGAGCTCTGATTACTTCTATTTACCATTTCAAGCTATTGTTTTTATCTTTTTAGTGCAGCATTTCACCAATTTTATCTTATTTCAAGAGATCATTGTATAGACTACATTCTATTTATCTAACTTTCTATATATGCAGGCACATATATAAAGCTAATAATGCTAATTTGCTTATGGAGCCTGTAACAAAAATAATTTCCCTCTGGGATTATTAAAGTATTTCTGATTCTGATTCTGATTCTGATTCTGACATATACAGGGAGGGGTATGCAGATATAAATAGATAGAGTAATAATTGCAGTTTTCCATGAGAGCTTCTATTTAATTCCATGCAGCCAGACTTTTTAAAAAAAGTTTAGCACATTTGCTCAGTGTCAACACCCTGGAAGAAGAAAACACCTCTCCCCTCCTTTTTTGTGTGTTTTGTTTAAAAAAAAAAAGCTAATTCATTAGGTCACCACAAGAGGGTGGTAACAACCGCGTGTAAACTTCCTGGCAGTTTGGCGGGTAAAATGTAAGTCCAATTTTCTAGCCACAGACAGTTATGTTTCCAACAAAAATAAACCACTCTGCCTGGAATGCTGAAGCCAAGCCATGGTGCTATCTCTATCTTTTTCCAGACTTCACGGGTCCACAGTGTGGGAGTCCTGAGCTCTGCACGTACTGTTTGGGATTATATGTCCAAAGGCTGTAAAACAGTCCCCGCTTAAAAAAAAAAAAAGGGTTTCCACCCTAGAGCGGGCTTTGTAAATGCAGCCTAGTCTCATTTTCTCTTTTCTGGAGATTCACATATGCATCTTAGCCTCTTTGTGTTATCGTGCGCTTACACACGTTGCAAGT